CAAATATCAAAGTCCAGTGTCAAAAACAGTTCAGTAGTAGACTTACATTAAACCCAGTAATATCAGTCAATTAGAAGAAATGGAGCAACGGCAATACTTTCCAACAGAAGGAAACAGAGATACTCACTCAGACACACTCTCTTCTGAGACTAAGACTAAGACAATCCAGGTTTCTGGCTCCATCTTATGGCTGTTTGAAAAACCACACCCAATTGCAGTTTTTGCAATCTCTTAAAGACATAGTACTAAAATGTTTATCCTGGTTTATATATTTCCAACCCAAATACCTGTTAGGTGACTTATATTCCTAACACACTGCCAACAAATCTTTTAAAAATGTACTCAAAAATAAAGGTAGAAAAAACAATCAAGCTTGTCTTTTAAATGTCACCCATCATTCACTTGCTGTCTCATTTCCCTTCCACACAATTATCCTCCTACTTCTAATTCCTATTATCCCCTCAAATTTAAAAGAAAATGAACAGGGCTCAAGAGGAGCCTTAATCACCTGGCTGTGTTCTATGAAAAGACAGGATAAGCAAACTAAATAGGAGTTGTGTTACTATTTTTAGGCACTGAGTACTATTCAAATCTTGCTTCAGTTGCCATGGAAGTGTTCCAAAGGCTTATTATAGTTGTTTTTGAACAGAATTTATTCCAAGAAAACCTATGTAACCAATTTCAGGTTTCAGGTAAATGGATATGGAGGGGAAAGTGTTTTTCTGCTCTAATGGGTAATGTGGAAAGACACTCAAAACAATGTTATTCTTGTTGACCGATTTGTTCCAGGATACCAAATGGGACTTGCAAAGGTATGTCAAATAGACTACTTCCAATTCACTCCTCACAATATACTTGGAGTACATATATAAAAACATCTTGTAGGTCTCTGCAGCTAACAAATTACTTCAGACAAGAAGGGATTTTAAAAGCTTAGATTATCAAGTGGAAATCTGGGGTTTTAAGACCCACACCATAAAGTTGCACTGCATACTTTTCCATAGCAATTTGTATTTATCATTTGGGCACCGGATAGTGCACGTTTTGTGGAATATGCAGACATGACTTCCCCCCTCCCCCAAAAAAAAAGTTATTAAAGGACCATAAGGATAATAACCATGCAACCAGATTAGAAGCTACAACTAGTTTGACTACTTCCATCATTCCTAGTCATTTACTGTCTTGGGCTATTCTTTCTGGAGTTACCTAGAAAGTAAGTTAAAATGGTTTATATTCCCTCAGTTATAGTACATTCCCATATGCAAAAACATATCTTTTTCAACTAAACCTTTCATAGAGCTCTCATTCTTCTTAGTTCTAATGCAGGTCAGCGGGCTGTGCCTCTTTTTGTTGATCTCTAGGCTGTTTTAATCTAAATGTCTTAAAGTAAGAATTGGTTTTACCATCTAATCCAAAAAATACTACTGAATTTCAGGGCACTTATAAGCTTGCACCTTATGAGTCTAGTGTCCAAATAACAGAAACATGTAATTACATGTATCAGCATACAATGACATCCATGCTTGGAGAAGTTCCAGGTGAGAAGCCCCTGAGTATTAAAAAAGAGAACAGTTTGAGGCAATCTTTTAAAGATAGGTCAAGATCTCTAGGCAAGTGGAACTAAATTTGGGAAGAGATACGGGTACCATATACAGTATGTGTCCACTCCAAATATCTCCAAATATCTTTATCTGAGAGGGTTCCTTGGAGATCTTCAGGTTCTTAGCATGAAAATCTGAAATGATGTATAACTGATAACCCTGACAAGAAATTATCTTGAAAGTCCTGCTAATTATTCTAACCAGCCCTTTTCAGATATTCACAATTTTATACCAAGAGTACAGGGACAAGTGTGTATCCTTCCCTCTCTGCACCCTCGAATACCTCCTTCCCCAGTGTGCTGCCAATGCCATGTGTTACAATGTGCAACACATCTATCTATCTATCTATCTGTCTGTCTGTCTGTCTGTCTGTCTGTCTGTCTGTCTATCTAATATATAATCATGATGATATATCCACTTAGTTGTGTCAGACTCTTGGAAATTGTATGGACCAGGTCTCTCCATGTCTTCTGATCTTGCACTATTTCTTTGAGTTGTTCTATGCTCTGTCTGGTGTCAGCTTTGATGGTGGAGTAATATATAAACCTGCTTAACAAATAACATACAGTATTCCCGAGCAAGTATGATCAAAGGCCATCAAGGCTATCAATGCAACATTTTTGGTGGGCAACAGGATAAAGATGATCTTCAGAATAGATAAAATTCAGAAATATAATCAGAGCATCATATGAAGTTATCTATAGCAGCAAACAGTAACATACCCATACTGTTTATTCATTAAGAGAGCTAAAAGCTCTTTACTGAAGTTTTGGCCCAGCATAGATCATTTTAAGAGCATCTATTCTGGTCGGAATGATTACTCGTCACTATAATGTATCAGTGAAGATGAACAAATATATAAGGAACAAAACCCATAACAAATTTAAGCGCTTCCCATCATGCATGATCCATTAAATAACTTCCTCATTATTTATTCATTCAATATTTAGGGTTGCATACTAAAGAAAACATTAATGGCTCATTAGATGTGTACCCTAAAGTGCCCTCTTGCCAGGCTAACTGAAAAGCTTAGATTTCAGAAGCTTTGCAAACAAAAATCTTGGAACACGCTTCTATGATTTTCATGTATACTTTAGCACTATATTTTCTCTACATTCAAAATGCCAAAAGCTTACTATTATTTCAGGTCTATGTGAATAATGCTGGAATGTTGACCTAAGAAGACAAAGCAACTTTATCCCTTAACAGATTTTCTAACTGTACAATTCAAGGTGAATATGTGCAATGTACCCATTGAAAATTCAACCTGAAAATCATGCAAATTCTATGCAAATGTGGAGATCTTTTATTTGTATAACTTTGGAGTTGATTTAGTACGTTACAGCACTTTAAAAAAAAAACACCACTTCTCATATGTCAAGAAAGCTGTGTGATCAGGCAGTTAAAAGTGGCCGATGGAAAAAAAATTATCTTCAGACTTGAAAGATGGATGCAGGGGTGGGCTGCTGGGGGTTTGCAGGGGTTTGGGCGATCCTATAGTTAAGATTCTGCACAGTTCGGAGAATCCCACTGGCTGGCCCCACCCACTCCCCTCCCAGGAGTCCTCACACGGCCCGTTTGGGAGGCAGATAAATGCAGGGAGGCTCAGGGAGGATGAAAAATGGGCTTCCCAGAAGTTTGGGAAGTCTGAAAACGGGCCCATTTCTGGCTTCCAGAGAGCCTCCGGAGCCCAGGGAGGGCAAAAATGCCCCCCACTGCCATGATGCAGGAGGCTGATTAGGCCACACCCATCAGGCCACACCCACCGAGCAACCGGGCAGAGAACCCCTTGCTAAAATTTTTGAAGCCCACCCCTGGATGGATGTCAGCCTTCCTGGATAAACCAGATGTTTTAAAAAACATGACTAAATGAGCTAAATCTACTTTATTGTAAGACTACATTAACAGAATCTTGTGAGTCTGAAGATATAAACTTCCTTCCAGCACTTTTAATCACCCCATCAATTAGGCTAAGTCTTTCCTAGGTTTCTTCCTCTGACCACTAAACCATTGGGGGCTCCTGCCTCTCGTCTGATTGGTTCCTAGGCAGCATTTCTTCCCTTCGTCCCCCAAGGTTAGCCACACATCCCATTGCAACACTTTCCAAGGGAGGATAGCTCTTGTTCCATTATTGTGTCAAAGCTTTTAATGAATTATATTAATATTTAATGTCGAGACTACTCCTAACCTTTTAACCAACTGATAATCCTTGCATATTTGTAATCCTATTATACATCATCCAGGGGTGGGATTAAAATTTTTTAACAACCGGTTCTGTGGGTGTGGCTTAGTTGGTGGGCATGGCTTGGTGGTCATGTGACCGGATGGGTGTAGCCAACTCAACATCACTCACATCGAGGCACGCATCTCCTCACCTGGCTTCTCATGACTGTGAGGATGCTGCAACAGTCGTAAGTGTGAAAAATGGTCATGTCACTTTTTTCAGTGCCATTGTAACTTTGAATGGTCACTCCACACAAACAAAGTACCAGCAAAGGAGGGGAAAAAAACCTCCAGAGACGTTCCTGAGACAGGAAGTCTAGTCCTGCCAAGAATGTAATAAGGGTTAACGGAGAGGCAGTTTCTGTAAACAACACCAGAATGTTTCCTTCTTGCCTTCCTTACAGGATTAGACCAGTAATTTCTTCTAACAACCGGTTCTCCGAACTGCTTAGAATGTTAACAACCGGTTCTAGCAAATAGGTGCAAACCTATAGAATCCCACCCCTGACATCATCTTAATTTAAAATTGGCAAATTTGCCATCTGGTCAGTTATCCTCAGAAAACTCTGTTTGGAATGGCAACATACAAGTAATTTGCATAACAACAAGGGGTATGATACGAAGCATGGCATGAATGTTCCATGAAGAGATTTAATAAAAATTGGCCATGTGAATTTTTTTTATCCTGAGCTTTTATTAACAAGAACTGCATAGTTGGGTACACATAACACTTCAGACATCCAATAAACTGCAATTGGAGTTCATACATACCGTTCCAAGTATGTATATACAAGCATTTTCTCCGTTTCCCTCCCCAAAAAAATATTATCCTTCTCAAGCGACGTGTAACATTTCTACCACTTGTGTTTTACAATTCTGAATGCCATAGTACATCTTCCAGAATGTATTACTAACAAAGAACTAGGGACATTCAAATTGAGAATGTTCTTGTTGCAAGCAAGCAATTCTGAGACTGTCTGGATGCCAAGTAAACATTTCCCCAGGAAAGGGAAAACAAGTGAAAAACCACCTGCTTGTTTCTAGTTTCTCCTGTGAAGTGGGCTTCTTGCCAAGTAGTCATTAGAGTAATTAAGGAGGAAAACAATCTAATATATTCATTATGTAAATGAATGACGAAGATTAAAAGGCAATGAGAGAGGAACTAAATATAAATACCTCTGTTTCTTGCAGCATCCCATGGCCTAAGCAGACCATGTCTGGACAAGTGATGGGAGAACCACACCCTTCACGGATGGCCAATTGTACGTATTGCTTTAGACACTAAGGAAGAAGAAATACGTAAGTTATAAATCATATGTAAATTATAATATGTAAGTATTATATTCCAATGGATGGAAACTAATCAAGGAAAGAAGCATCCTAGAACTGAGAAGAAATTTCTTAACGATGAGAACAATCAACCGATGGAATGACTTGCTTTCAGAAGTTGTAGGTGCCCCACCACTGGGGGCTGTCAAAAAGAGACTGGACAGCCACCTGTCTGAAATCATATAGCCTCTCCTGCTTGTGCAGGGAGTTGGACTAGATGACCTCCAAGACCCTTCCAACTTCTGTTATTCTATGTCCTATGTTATAAACCATAAAATGGCATAAGGCACCTCCACCAGCTGTTGGAACTAACTCACCTCTTTCAGCACCATTGTAAATTTGAACTGTCGTTAATCAAATAGTCATAAGTCAGGGACTCTCTCTCTCTGTGTTACTATGGGAGGATTGTAGACTTTTTGATAAACAGGACAAAGAGCTAGACTTTAGAGGAGTAGACTTTAGACTTTGTATCTATTGGTTGCCATGTAATGGTTATACAAATTCATACAGTCAAGCTATAGCTAGTAAGTAATGTATAGCTGATGAACTAGAATATCAGAAAGTGACTATGTTGTTGAGATTGGGTGGGAGCTCTAGACTACCCTAATAACATTAGATGAGCAGAGGAAATGAGACCCAGGACTTCTCTGGGAAGCATCCACTGAAAAGGCAATGCTCCCTACCCAAGAGCCAAATCATTTCAGTTATACTTGCAGTTCAATTACATGTATTAATCTAGGCACATTGGTTAGTTTAGTTAGTTAGTTAGTTAGTTAGTTAGTTAGTTAGTTAGTTAGTTAGACCTTTGCATAGTCTAGATCAGGGCTCTCAAAGTTGGCAACTTTAAGACTTACGGACTTCAACACCCACAATTCCCCAGCCAGCTACTATAGTCACCTATTGCTGGGCCTGCTCGGTGGAACGTGACCCTGGAGATTCAGGTGGTCCGGGGCAAGATGTATTTTCCTAGTTTTCATCTCTGGTCTTTTTCTTTTAATGGGGTGGATATAATTTGCATGAACTGATGCATGGATATACTTAGCAGTATAAGACCATTATTTAGTAATAACTCTGAAGCAAACAAATGAAGTTAAAGATGAAGATCTACACAGGGGTTCTCAGTCTTGGCAACTTTAAGACGTGTGGACTTCAACTCCCAGAATTCCCCACCCAGCATTAATCTTGGTGAAATTGCCAAGATTGGGATGACTGGTCTATAACCTTGATAAAAAAAAAATCTCATCGTTTATTTACCCTTTCGATAATTTCACTTTAAAAAATCATTCACATACATTAATGCTAATTTGTTAATATATTCATGTCAAGGAAGTGCCATCCTTGCAATTTTCAATTAAAGTCAGATAAGTTCACTGAATAAGGGTTCTGAATTCCCATAAGTAAATAAACTGAATTCTATTCTTTTAAGCTTTTATGGTGAGCATTTAAACATTCTCTTGCAATATATGGTAATTATGACTGTCAGACAGGGGTGGAATTCTACCAGTTCGCACCTATTCGCTAAGCAGTTCGGAGAACCGGTTGTTAGAAGAAATTATTGGTCTAATCCTGTAAGGAAGGCAGGAAGGAAACATTCTGGTGTTGCTTACAGAAACTGCCTCTCCGTTAACCCTTATTACATTCTTGGCAGGACTAGAATTCCTGTCTCAGGAACTTCTCTGGAGTTTTCCCCCCCTCCTTTGCTCGTACTTTGCTTGTGTGGAGTGACCATTTAAAGTTACAATGGCACTGAAAAAAGTGACTTATGACCATTTTTCACACTTACGACTGTTGTAGCATCTCCACAGTCATGAGAGGCCAGGTGAGGAGATGCGTGCCTCAATGTGAGTGATATTGAGTTGGCCACACCCAGCTAATAACATGAGCACCAAGCCACATCCACCCAGTCACATGACCACCAAGCCACGCCTACCAACTAAGCCACACCCACAGAACCAGTTGTTAAAAAATTTAAATCCCACCCCTGCTGTCAGAGATATAAATGTAGGTTGAGGTTTAAGATGAGCTGGAAACATGAGCTGGGAAATTGATATCCCACAAATCCATCTCTATTTTGTGGAAACTACACCTAATCCAAAGTATTAAATACACATTCGATGTTAAGTATTTTGTATTACATAAAGCCCTACAATAGATGGTATTATGAAATGTTATTTACTTGTTTTGTCATATTTAAGAGCCGCCGATCTCCCTCACATAATGTGCTCTGCTCTTATAACCTCACTATAAACTGCTTCATCAAGTATCACAAAAGCTATCATTTAAAAGACTTCTATACATTATGTTCTCCCACAGAAGTGCTACTGCAAACTAGGATTTTAATCTTCTGGAGTAAAAGGTACACCTCAAGGACTGCCCACATTTCCAGAATTTCACAGAAAATTTAAGCGGCATCTCTAGCACAAAGTATGCTTTTCAGCCAAATACTAAATAATCAGTGTCTCTTGGCAGCCCATCCTGATCAGAAATAGTCTAGGTAAGAGAGAGGCAACTGTTCTGCGCAAGAAGGCTCTTCGAAAACAAATCAGGGTTGCCAGGGGTTTGGTGGCTTGTTGCCTATTCGCAAAATGGCCATTACAATAAAAGTGGCCCATCAGAAAACATCCACTAACCAGAAGGTAATCTGGTGAAGTTTCTCTTTGACGCCCTCCCTATCCGAGTGAAGGAATGTGAGAGAAAGGAGAAGTCATGTTTAATTCAGACTAATTCAATTTAGGCAGTAACTCATCCTTATTCCTTTTGTGTCCAATCACACTTGGCCAATAAACAATTATATTCTGTTCTGTTCTATATAGGAAACTAGGAATTGCACTGCAGACAAAGGTATAATGTATGAAGGAAGGTTCTGCTCTGTTCCTCACATAGGAGTTCTCTGTCTTTCCCTCTGCCTAGTGTCCCATGGTCATTCCACATAGTTTTGAGTTGGCTTCACCCTTTCCATGTTGGTCTGTTCAATATTTACCTGTTTTTTCCCCACCCCTCACCTCTCCCCGGGAGAGTTCTGAGTGCCTTGTCCATGTTTATAAAGAAACTGACATCTGTGGGACAAGTGAAGAGAGAAGCACAAATAATTTGCAGCTGATGACGACAAGGAAAGATTTAAGTGTACCACTTGCTGCCAACCGTCTGCTCAAAATGTTCATTTCCAAAACCTTTAGGGATTTATTTGCACTCAGTATGTAGCTCAACCCATCAGGCGATGGAGGTTCAGATCTCATGGCTAACTAATGGCTTAAGAAGGCATTTTGTACTTCCTTTCACCTCAAATCCATCAAGGCCACTTTTAGATAATCTTCCTCGGCATTCACAAACAAAGGGCCGTCTTGTTCAGGTTGCCATTTCCACCCTTGATTATCCCTGTGATTCAACACTTTAAAGGGATTCCAGCTGATTTGTTTCAATTCTTACACATTTTCAGAACGCAAATGGAAAAAGGACAAAAATGCTATAGCAATATAGCAAATGTTAGTATGGAAGATAAAGGAAGCTTATACAAAACATAGGACTATATGCCTGTATAAACAAACATACTTGGTTTATTTGGGGCAAGAGGCTACCCAGGTAATCAGGTGAGGGTCATACAGCTTACAACCATTCGTTTAGTGACCATTTGGAGTTACAATAGCACTGAAAAAGTGACTTATGACTGTTTTTCAAATTTACAACCACCGCAGTGCCCCAGGGTCATGTGATCAAAATTCAGTTACTTGGCAACTGGTTCATATTTATGACAGCTATATTCCTCCCAGGATCATGTGATCACCTTCTGTGATCCTCTGACAAGCAAATCAATGGGGACACCAGATTCACTTAACAACCATGTTACTAACTTAACAAGTACAGTGATTTGCTTAACAGCGGTGGCAAGAAAGGTCATAAAAATGGGGCAAAATTCATTTAACAACTATCTCTCATTCAAAGGCTCAGTTGTGGTTTAAAGTCGAGGACTACCTGTACAACTTTTCAAGACTTCATTACAAAACAGTCCTTTTACTTTTTACTTGGTGGAGATACAAGGTGATTTTTACTAATTTTAACAGTACTGTGACAATCTCCTAAATGTATACAAACCTTAAATTTCATTGCATAGCTATTATGTTCATTTAGAACTGTTATTTCTTTTATAATTAAAGTATAGAGTTGTTAATTAAGTCAACTAACAAATAAGTGAGCGTCTGATTTGCTGGCTAGATCTTTGATATCATTTATGAAATATATCACACCATTGGACAAAATAACAGTCTGACTCCAGTAAGAAGATGAAAATATTCCCTAAGATAGTGACATTTTACTTACAATTTTAGATTTTTAAAAAGATAACTAGGAGATAATCTTTCTTTCTTGGACTATTTTCTCGGCAATGAAATCTAGTCTCTAATTCTATTTAAGCATTCACATATACACCAGATCACTTTATTATCTTATTTAAGATATTATTAAAATTATTTAAAATTCTGTGGATGATCATTACCAACCAAACATTAATGCTTATGTTTCTCTGTCTGCCAAACACTTTGTTTGTACTTGGGGTTTTTGTCATATTGTTTTAAAAAGGGAAATATTTTTGCTACGATCTTTCGTATTTGCAAGATAGCCTTTTTTCTTTGGAAAGCTTTTATCTGACATTTCTGGGTTTGCTCAAGAAAATGCAAAAGTTTGCAACCCCCTCTCGAAAGCCGGGTAAAATATCCCCCCAAAAATTGACAATACTCTGTGAATTTTCCTCCTCCACTTCAACAGAAGAGCCACTGCACAGGTGCCAGAGAGTTTTAATTGTAACTTAACCACCAGGTTACTCATTTATCAACTGCAGCGATTCACTTAACAGCTGTGGCAAAAAAAAGTCGAAAAATGGGCCAAACTCACTTAACAAACATCTTGCTTAACAATAGAAACATTGAGCTCAATTGTGGTTGTAAGTCGAGGACTACTTG